TGTCTGTGTTAATCTAAAGTGGTGTCAGGAGGCGACCATTGATTATAACTATAAACGACGAGGCCGAGGCCGTGTCGACTACCATGTAATTAAGACAGCAAGGGAATTATCTGGATATAACATTGATGTGGTCCTCTTGTTGATGAGGGCGCCGAATCGTTGACTGGTAATCTGTCGATACGCGATGTGATGGGTGTGACAAACACTCGACCAGACAATGGCTGTCGGAGTGACCACACATGTACGTCATCAGTAAATATAAGTGAGTGTATAGCGCTCCTTCGTCTCGTTTCAGGGCTAGTGTTTCATCCCATTTATTTGCTTTTGAATATCCCAGGGGTGTATACAATGTAAATAATGCTGTGTAGCAGGTCCTCAGTACAAATCCATTGCATTAAATTCTCTGCTTTCATTAGTTATCTCTGGGATTGTGCATGGATTAAAAAAAAAAGCCCATTTAATGTTTATTCTATTGAAATATGTGAATGATCAGAAAATTATTAATTTTTACTTTTTTTTTCTTTTGTTGCTTTCATCAGAAATATTAAACAAATTAATCGTCACGTGAAAGTTGTGAAATCATAAATCAAAGCTAGATGTTTCCATGTTCAGTGATAAAATTGAATTTCTTTTGGCTATTTTCGATTGTGAGCTTAGCTCATTCATCCCTGAAGACACATTTGAACAATTCCAATTCAAAGATTGGAATAGTTTATTATGAAACTTCAGGGGTGAATAAGTTTATTGTAGAAAATATATCAGACTGAATATGAGGTGATACATATTGTACTTGTTATTTCCTGTCCAGTTTTTTAACACCATATATAGTGGGTAATAATGCATACATCTTGGATGTTTAGCAAAAAAAAATAAAGTTACTCATGGCCTATACGGATATGTGTAGGGTACTAGACCTTTGTTCCTTATCAATAATGGATGTGTATACTTTGAAAAACAGTAGTTCTAGGGAGGTGTGTGTTTATTTATAATTCATGTTGGGATATATACTACTGTACGTATACGGCACCACAATCTCCGTGCTGTGATGCAGGCAGATAAAATACATATATGCTCTTCAGAACACGCTGACCGTACATGGACAAGAAACTAAAACTGAATCTTTACGAAATCAACAATTTACTAGAGTTTCCCTCTGTCTGTTGGTACCTTCTCGTTTGTGTCACATCCTTCATGGTTTACGAGAGTTTATCAGAGTCAGTATTCGTAAATGCATGGTCCTATGACCGTCACATTGACTAGAATTTATAGTGAATGTGATACATATAGGGGTGCTCTCTTAACATTTTCATTACAAGAGTTGAGTTATCAAACAAGGACAGTATGTTTTATTTGAAAGAGGCTTATATTAATGCGAGTTATTTCTGGAATATTTCTTAGATAAATCATAAAACACTTGTTATGTTTAAAATATAAGAAATATCTCGTATTTTATCTTCAGTATTCAATGTCAGATTGTCACAATATTCTTGAAAGGACTTTGATATATTTAAGACAATGGACTCGATGAATTGAAATAAAACTCTAAGAAAGACGATTTTTAACAAATTGCATGTAGAAGGCAAAAAAACTACACTACCATTAATATTATATACCTTACATACACTTGTAACCGGTAATAACGTAATATTATTGTGGCTTTTTAGCTGTGAGACCGTCCATATATATGCATATTAGTTCTACGATATTTTAGGCCTTGCACTTGACCCAATTTGCATGTACGATCAGAGGACGTGCGACTCCCAATTGTTCTATCCCTCGATGAATATTTTATAATCTTACCAGCCATTTTTGTCTGTCCCCTCATCAGAATCTGCATGAATATCAAATAGCGATGTACTATATGTGCTTCAATCTTCCTTAGCTCTGCCGTTCCCGGTAATTATGAATAACTTTTACCCGAAATCAGGGAAGAGAAAATATTTGTTACATATATATAAATACTGAGCTAGCGACAGCATTAGCCATGTTTGTTACACTTCAGCATTTCTCCGAGTGCTGTACGGCTGATTTTATTGGTATACCTGGTACATGTACATGTGCTGGCATTGGCGGTACATGTATTTTTAATGTTACTACAGTAAAGTATTTATGGGAAAACGTGTCTTGGTCATTGTGAAATCTCAATATATTTGCCCAATTTAAGACTACAGCATATATCGTGCCAAAAGTATTCACGATTTTGTTGGGATTAACTCTATATTACACGCATATTCACCTTTTTTCATTGACTTTTCCCAATTATTGTGCCACTGAAACGAAATTGGACACCCTCAAATTGAATCAATGAATGTCTTATATTATCTGACAATATTTTCATATTTTTTTCATGGAATGGTTTGCAAAATATGGTGATATATTCTGGGAAACAAAATTCTTCTGCCCTTATTTTGTAAGACAAGGTACAAAACAGCATAGTAAAATTGATTTTCATCTGAATCTGTAAAAAACATCCCAGATTACTACTATGAAATGTATCATTCAGTATGTGAAATTTTGTTTCAATAGTGCTAAAAATAGTCCCAGAAATTGCAATGAAAAAAATGTATGAATGCTTGAAATTTAGAATAAATTTGGGAAAATCGTGAATACCAATTATGGCATAATGCTTTATTGTAGTTCGCATTGGTGTTTGAGGCTTAAAATAAAGCTCAGAAAACTCTATTGGTGATTAGCTAATATATATAGTGGATCATATGTAGATATGTAGTATAGCAAAATTCTACACCAGCGGGTAGATCGAAGCGCTTCGATAATTAATAAAAAAAAAATCCTCACATTTGAATAGAAAGTAATTCGGAAGCAGATTAGACCCTTATTTAAGGTCACAGTTTAATTGGACAACCTCATCATGGCGTCAATATTGATTGGTTCAATATTATTGGAGATGGCCAGATTCAGATATGACGTTCGGTCTGTCAATGGCTGTCATTAATTGGCGTGATGACGACAAACTGTGTGTAACTATCGTATGTTACACGCTGTTTATGGATATGTAGGCGTTTGTCATGGATTTCAATGATTATTGTACATATGTCTTACATAATTACCATCCACAGTGTCAAAGCTGATTGTAAGGCTGATTAGCAGTACAATTAACAGGAAACATATTTATTAAAGTTTGGTCAGCTTCACACGCAAATAACTCAATTTTCAAAGTTATTTTTTTCTTTTCTAGAAATACTAAAAAAAAAGAAATTAATTTTAAGATTTTTATTCGTGGGATCATTATAAATCCATACACATTAGAAATTTAACTACAAATTTAATTATAAAGTTCAACATTTTTGGAAATATTTCATGATTGAATATTTGCATTTAATTTTGCTAATCTAATCTGAGGCATTTAATTATCAACTGAAACAGTTTTAAAGCCTTGTTTGTTTACCAGAATATTTTCGCAAAGAGCTACAGGCATTTTTAGTTATGATGTGTTGTATTCATGCAATGTGCCTATTTGTTTAGAGAAAGGTAAGAAAAAATAGCTATAAATCATTCTTTTATAAACATCTTTCATCAAGGAAAATTAGGAGCTTTTTTTTACCAGAAATAATTTCCTTTTTAAAATTGAAGCATTATCCTTATTAAAAATAATAACTATGAAAAAAACATTTGATTTATTTTCTAAAATGAAAAAATGAAAAAAAAAATCTCTTTTAACTTTTATTAAATTTATTGTTGTAAATTGTGTTTCCTTAAGTTGACAACAACTTGTTGAAAACTGTCTAAAGCTTTTAGGTGGGTGTGTCTTGTCGGGAACATTTCTATTATTGATCACCACTCAAAATTACAAATAGTTGTCGTAAAAAATTCTGAACATGATATTTAAAATAAAACCTTTTAACCATTCTTAAGCCTTTTACCTATATGGAAACATCCTGTTTATCTTCTTTTTTTTTTTTCATTTCATAGACGTATACATATTAGACATACATCAACATATTATACAAGTAATCTCAAACATACATCAAATACATACATAAACATATCCACATCTGTGCTCCTGTCTCCGTACCGTCTCACCTTCAATTCATATAATCCTGTTCATCTTAAAAGCAACTCAGGAAAAGTCAAATAATGCATTCATACTCACCTTTTTTTGTGGTTCATTGCAAGTCCTCCTTGCAAACCACCCCTGAAATTTCATAATGAACTATTCAAACCTTTGAATTAGAAGAGTTCAAATGTGTCTTCAGGGGTGAATAAGTTAACAGGATTTGGGAGGAGTTTATTGCAAACACATGATTTTATATTATGTTACTGATATTTAAAGCAATTTGTGTATATATGTAATTGATTTTTTTTGGTCTGACAAATAATTATAACAGCTAAGTTTATAAAAGATATCAGCGCAGTAGAAATCAATCTACTTATATATGACACGATAAATTTCATTAGAAGATCTTGATAGAATTTCTTCTCTTTTCAATGAAATAGATTATGCATGTCAATGTCTTGCATGATGAGGGAATCAATTTCAGAAATCTATTTCATGTTTGAAATGTTACCCCAGGATATTCATCAGCTATATATATACCTATTTACCTGAATCTTTAAGCAGAAATCAGATGTACTAGTTAGTGACTATTTCACCATGAAAACGGATGTAAGTTATTGGTTGACAGATACGTATACATACATGTACCAGTGCACAACCATCTATAAAGCGAATCATTTCAATAAACTCACACTGATCAAGGAAAAGATGACTCACACCTTTACTACATATTATAACTGGTTCAGGGATGTGACTTGCACTGATTGATTCGATTGGCAATTACAAGTACTGATGAGTATATAACCGTCTCGCCTCATAATGTGTGATAAAACAAGGGTCGGAATTGATGTCTGTAAATTGTCATCGACTACTATTGGGTCGTTATTACAGGAACAATAAAGGGCTGCAGGAGAAACGGTATAATGGCTATGCTGGGGTATATGTGTGTGTTCATCATGCTGTATTGATTTTTCTTTTAAACCAGGTGGTACAGAGGAAAAACTGAAAACGAAAAACTGGGCGGAACCAGGAAATTTCTCGTCGGGTACAAGATCGTCAGAAATGGTGACAACGACGTCTGGACTGGTCGTGGCTTTTGTGACAAAATACCCTTGCAGCAAATGTTCGTCTTCAGTATCACCGAAGCCTGCTGTATAGCAACTGTAGTGAATGCTGCAAGGTGTGGCAATACGTCAATCGGGTTGATGTAGAGATGTGTTAGATTCTGCGTGTGTGTGTCTGTGTGTGATACACCGATGGCTGACTCCAGTTTTAATTTACCAGCACGGCGAGCGACCATCGTTAGTGTTGTTGTCCCCGTCCTACAAAATGCCACTCCAAGACAACACGGGGAGGAGGTCGTCCGACAAATTGGAACAGAACCATGTTTATAGTGTGTATGACCAGATTGCCCCCTGCTTCTCCGAGATCTCCCAGAAGGCCTGGCCGAATGTACGTCGGTTTCTCAAGCGCCTACAGCCAGGCTCATTGGTCGCAGATATAGGTAACAACCATATTTGATGTGTTTTTTTATCGTTAATTTAAATAAACTTTTTATTTTTTCAAAAGAAACTAATATATTAAAAATCTTTCCATTTCTGAGGGTTTATCCTTGATATAAAAATAACTTTCAATTGCAGCAGACATTTGTTGGTTAAGATTTTGCAGGATTTAACATTTTTTTGTGACTGTTTATATATATATACAAGTAAAGACCAAATATTGAATTAATCATGACTTCCTGACTTCCTAAGGACTACAGCTTACATGTTGTTCTAATGGTATAGATTTATTTTGGTGTAAAAAGGGATCATGAGTTCATAAGTGGCTGTTTATAATAATACCTTAAATACCCTATCCAATAAATTCCCCCCCCCCCCCCTCCCTTTCATTCTATTAACTCATACACCCCGGAAGACTCATTTGAACTCTTCCAAATCAAAGGTTCGAATGGTTCATTATAAAATTTCAGGGGTGAAAGAGTTAATTAAACAGATGTGAAAATAATGATGGAAGAAAGCCACATCAGACGCCCGCAACAATATTTTTTGTTGGATTTAGGGTTTTGTCGCCTATAAATTAGATGGTGTCTAACTCATTCCACCCTGAAGACACATTTGAACTCTTCCAATTCAAAGGTTGGACATTATATTATGACATTTATGCCTGATAGTTTGTATATATGATAATGGGTATATACATGTAATAATAATATAATTTGAGGTTCTTAATATACCGGTTTACCACAACCTAGTTTGTAGGTCGTCTCAAAGTAGTTCACAAATTATAATTATGGTTATAGGGCCTTTGCAATCAGCCAATACCTTTCTCAACTCCCTAGGGAGCATACAGCCGGAGCTGCCATTTAGGCGCTAAAAGCTAGCATTCAACAATTCTATAGCGCTGCCCAACCACGTACTCAATTTTACAGCTGAGTAGACTTGAACAAGCGGAGTAAAGTATCTTGCTCAAAGATACACCACAGTGCCGTGCAGTAACTCTAACATGTAACCTTTCAGTCACAAGCCCGGCGTCCTACCACTAGACTACCATGCCTGATACAACTATAGATTTGATGTACTTGTTCACCTTGACATATATGTCTTAATTGAACTGGATTGTTTAGTTACAAAATCTGTTACATTTTGCTTTACAGTAAATCATCAATAAAATTATAATACTATGTTTCTAGGCACGGCCCGGTTGTTATTCAAGGTCTTTTGGACATTTGTAAATTTCTTAGGTTACCTTTGTATAATAAAAATACTGGCTTAGTAAAAAATCAGCTGAAGTAAAAAATCAGACTAATTAGATTATCAAATAGATATTCCGCCTTTGCGTATTGCAGAGTTATCTTCTCTTGGGAGCAGGTATTGATTGTTTTGTCATTGGTCTGTTTGAGAAAATTACGTCGTTTTCTCAAAAATTGATGACGTAACAATCAATACCTGCTCCCAAGAGAAGATAACTCTGCAATACGCAAAGACGTAATAGTTAGTTGGACAGTTCTTGTCTTTGTTTCAGGATGTGGCAGTGGACGATATCTTCACATCAACAAAAGTGTCTTTAAAGTTGGATTAGACATATGCTGTCCCCTGGTGGAATCGGCCGGAACTAAGGGGCATGAAGTACTGGTGGCAGACAACCTCAAACTGCCGTTTAGATCGGGTCTGTTTGATGCAGTGATATCTATTGGTGTCATCCATCACTTCGCAACCACAGAACGGCGGATCGAAGCAGTTCGCGAACTAGCCAGAATTCTACGACCGGGCGGACAGCTAATGCTGTATGTGTGGGCATACGAACAGAGGCATAGACGTGTATGTATCAAGGTTTACACGTTTACCTTTTTTGGTTCGTCCTGATAGAAGAATTACAGGGGGGATATGATAATGCTACTTAATTTCAATCTGTGTGTCTGTCTTGCCATCTGTTTTGGTTTTAATCTTGTGGGCACCTAAAGTGTAAAGGCCATTTATATATTCTCACTCAGACTTGGTATGATGATTGGGCATCCCAAGAGGAAGAATTCTGTTGTAATTCCAGGTTGAAGGTCAAGGTCAGTGCTTTAGGTGAAAAAGAGTTAGCTAGATTACAACCACTGTAGTTTTGACACAGCCACCGAGCTAGATTACAGCCACTGTAGTTTTGACACAGCCACTGTAGTTATAGGTTACTGTCGCGGTAATTTGACACAGCCAAGAGCACTGTAGTTATAGGTCACTGCCGCCATAGTTTTGACATAGCCACTGTAGTTATATGTTACTGCCACTGTAGTTTTGACAGAGCCACTGAAGTTATAGGTTACTGCCGCTGTAGTTTTGACACAGCCACTGTTGTTATAGGTTACTGTCGCTGTAGTTTTGACACAGCCACTGTTGTTACAGGTTTCTGCCGCTGTTGTTTTGACACAGCCACTGTAGCTATAGGTTACTGCCTCCTTAGTTTTGACACAGCCACTATAGTTATAGGTTACTGCCGCCGTATTGTTGACACAGCCACTGTAGTTATAGGTTACTGCTGCTGTAGTTTTGACACAGCCACTGTAGTTATAGGTTACTGCCGCTGTAGTTCTGACACAGCCAATGTAGTTATAGGTTACTGCCCCTGTAGTTTTGACACAGCCACTGTAGTTATAGGTTACTGCCGCTGTAGTTCTAACACAGCCACTGTAGTTATAGGTTACTGCCGCCGTAGTTCTAACACAGCCACTGTAGTTACAGGTTACTGCTGCTGTAGTTATAGGTTACTGTCACTGTAGTTATAGGTTACAGCCGCTGTAGTTTTAGGTTACTGTCGCTGAGTTTTGACACAGCCACTGTAGTTTTAGGTTACAACTGCTGTAGTTTTGACACAGCCACTGTAGTTATAGGTTACAGCCGCTGAAGTTTTGACACAGCCACTGTAGTTATAGGTTACTGCCCCTGTAGTTATAGCTAGGTTACTGCCGCTGTTATTTTGACACAGCCACTGTAGTTATAGGGTACTGCCTCTGTAGTTTTGACAAAGCCGCTGTAGTTATAGGTTACTGCCCCTGTAGTTATAGCTAGGTTACTGCCGCTGTTATTTTGACACAGCCACTGTAGTTATAGGCTACTGCCCCTGTAGTTTTGACACAGCCTCTGTAGTTATAGGCTACTTTCGCTGTAGTTTTGACACAGCCCCTATATAGTTATAGGTTACTGCCTCCGTAGTTTTGACACAGCCACTGTAGTTATAGGTTCCTGCCACTGTAGTTCTAACACAGCCACTGTAGTTATAGGTTACTTCCGCTGTAGTTTTGACACAGCCCCTATATAGTTATAGGTTACTGTCTCCGTAGTTTTGACACAGCCACTGTAGTTATAGGTTACTGCCTCTGTAGTTTTGACAAAGCCACTGTAGTTATAGGTTACTGCCCCTGTAGTTTTGACACAGCCACTGTAGTTATATGTTACTGCCTCTGTAGTTTTGACAAAGCCGCTGTAGTTATAGGTTACTGCCCCTGTAGTTATAGCTAGGTTACTGCCGCTGTTATTTTGACACAGCCACTGTAGTTATAGGTTACTGCCACTGTAGTTATAGCTAGGTTACTGCCGCTGTTATTTTGACACAGCCACTGTAGTTATAGGTTACCGCCGCTCCAGTAGACATTCAGTGCAATTTATATAGGGTGTCATTTGTTTCAAAATTCAACAATGGTTAAAATAACCATTGTGGTGTGTAAAAAAATTGTATGTTGGAAGAAAATCAAATTACTAAAAGAAGAATACATGTACAAAGTCAATTGATGCAGAGTAAAAAGTATTGATAATAAAAATGTTTTCAGTTAACATGCAAAAGTTTATTATTTTCCTACATCCATAAAAAATATTCATATTTGGTAATTTTCTGTTTGAGATAACATGCTGTTTCATCATCGGTGATAAATACTGTAACAGCTGAACTTATCGGTCAGTGAAATCTAAAAAAAAATGTATAGATTTTATCAATACTTCTGCAAGCACACTATTCTGAAAAAGTCTGCTGACTAGAGTTACGCAATGATTGTACCTGGAAGCATGTGCGAGGAAATGGCCATCTGCCACTCATAATGCTGTTTGTGTACATGTAAGAGCAGCCCGGAGGTCTGACCCCAGTTGTTCAAGATAAGCTTAACAAAAAATTCAATCTAATACATTTCAAAAGATTGAAATTCTAAGCTTTAGTTGTTTGTATTCATGTGGACTCAAAAACTTCATCTAAAGGCAATGCAGTCACCAAAAGAAAATCAAAAAAAATCAGATAGTTCTGAAAAAAATATTTGAAAATTGGCATTTTATAGAAATACAAGTCATGTCTTTTAGATATCAGTACCGTTTATTTATTTTAGACAAACATCTGATTTTCTGAAAAAAACATTTCTGTTTCCAATAGTTTGATGGACAAGATGTACTGGTACCGTGGCACGGAGGACAGAAGACCAGCCGATCGGCTAATATACAAGGTTAGATAAATCCACCTCTTTGTGACATTCTCATTAAAAGTCATTTACAAGAAGTATATATGTAGATGTTGTGAGGTAGTAGCCAGTGTCTCTTCAGGGTTTGAGATTTTTGTTTAATGAAAACTTTATAACCAATGTAACCCATTGACCATGCATGGTCAGCCATATTTAATAACCATAATCAAACATATACTGTTTAGCTGGTTATTTACGTGGGCTTAAATTTTCACGATTTTTAGCCAAATTAGAGAAATTTATTTACACAGATTATAATTTTACGATCTTAATACTTTTGAAGGAACTACATTTTAGCTGTTTTTCAGCACAGAGACGGGACACACAACACATAAAGTGACAATACTCAAATGAATAGGCTAATTATGGCAGCATATTGAGCAATAATAAGTAAATGAATTGTTATGGACAAATCATTAACAAAAATATTATATTTGTGATTTAACATATTTTCATAAATCATAACTCTTATAATTAAGTTATATATGAATCATCATAATCCTTAGCTGCGGGAACCGAAGTTCTATGTCGTTGTTTTTTTTTTTTTTTTTTTTTTTTTTTTTTTTTTTGGGGTNTCTAGGGTCGATAACAATAAATTTTTTTTTTTTTTAAATCGGACATTGAAGCTACGGTTCCCGCAGCTACATAATCCTGTGCACACTATTTCATGACGCATTACGGTTATGAAGTTTATTATCTCGGATCATATATTTGTGAACACATTATTGACCCGTGAAATTGCAAAAATATCATCCTCTGCAGAAATAACCTACTATACGGTATATTTACTAGTACCCTGGTTAACCAAACTTAGTGACCAAAGCTGACCGTGGGCATAAGCGCTTGGTGTTTCATGCGTCCCTTATTATATCAGTGTTAGATTTTTGTTGTCTTGCAAGTTGCCTGCGACGAATGTCGTGAAGTCAGGACAATGGTGTCCTTTTTCGAGTGGGGGGTTATCAAAAACGTTTTGCATTGAGCGCTGTACATCAGATTGTAAGGTTCAGTGACTTTGTCAGTTTCTTCATCAATGTTTAGATGTTTGCTTTCAGTCATATAGATAGATCTACTAAACTTACACCATAGATATACATCTGGGCAGTACATCTTCATTCGAGGAACAGATACATGTACGTGTTGGTCCTAAGTTTGTCATTTCTTCATCAAAGTTAAACTTTGTGTTTTAAGCTCTCTAAATAATTATGTATTGTTTTATTTTGTAATGATTGCTTCGGATGCTGAATATAACCTGGATTTCATGGTTCAGTAACTTTTTTCCACATTCTCATCTGTATTATATTTCTATGAATTAGTAATCACATGTCAAACTGAAAATTTGATTTTAATTCCAATTACGAGTTTTCATTAAGAATGCTTTTTACATTTTACGTTATTCATTTCTTAAATTTTAAATGGCTGTTTTGTTTCGCCTGCTGTTGATGGTCAAAGGGGGGGACAGGAGAGACATACAATTCCCCATAACTCTTGTAGACCATACTTTTATTAGTCAGCAAAATAGTTTAAGAAAAGAATTTCAACTACTTTTCAGAGGCCAAAGTTGTTGAAAAAAGGACATCTTTAGAGTAAATGAAAATCGAAAATTAACATTTTATCTTAGAAATGATTTCTCCCACCCTTCACAGGTGTGTCTCCCGTTTTAGCCCGGAGAGATCAGCTTGTCACCCCCTAGGGGGAGATAGCCTCGTGTGTTCAATTGTGACGTTATTAAATGCGTCACCAGTGTATTTGTGACGTCATCTAAAGTGATTGGTGATATTCATACCTCACATGTGTTTAGTTTACAAACATGGCAGATTATTGTCGGTGGAGTTGTGACTGAAATGACAGGATGGGGTAAAAAAATAATCATCCGCTACCTTGAGGGTGTAACAGAGAAATCTCCAACCCTCGGGGTGATTTTTGTTGGTTGTCTTACCCTCGGCAGAGCCTCTGGTTAGACAACCCAAAAAAATCACCCCTCGGGTAGGAGATTTCTTTGTTACACCCTCAAGGTAGGGGAAGGTTCTATTATATAATAATTAATAATCTTTAAGCAGAAATAGAAAAAAAAACAAAAAAAACAGAAAGCAATTTAAGAATTGAAAATACAATTACAACAATTTAAATTTAAAATATGGAAAAACTTTGAAAATTTTAGGAACGAGTGAGTACAATACATTAATATATGATACTGAAGGTAAGTGGGTCCAGTGTAGTGTTGATATTGACGTGATAGTCTGACAGCTGTCATAACAACTCACTGAAACATACATAAACAGCTGATTGTCTGACAAGGGGAATAGATAGAGTCTGTCGATATCCCTTTAATGAGGAATGCGAGCTTTTGATTTACAAATACATCAGAAATGTTGAACGCACATCAGTTTGATCGTCATTTCATACATGTATATAACAACCAAGTTAAGTCGAATTTACAGGGATTTTATCATTAACTCACACATATTTAACAAATTTGTGTACATTATACATTTGACTTGTTATTTGTGTGATGAAGAGTGACATACAAAATGTATTATATAACCTACTTACCTGGTATTATCGACTTTCTTGGGGCAGTCGCCAGGTACCGGTTGTAGGTTGGTGGTTTTTCTTATAGATTGCTCCAGCTTCATCGACCACCAAAACCTGGTCTGTCCTTAAATGACCCTATATAGCTGTTAACCCTTTCACCACTGTGGACCATAATTGACTCATCCAGATCAATATATGGTAGAGTTTACTAAAGTTACATAGGGGTGAAAGGGTTAATAGGATGTAAAACACAAACAAACAAAGCAAACAAACCTTGATGAATATTGATAGACCAGGTCGCAGTCCGGGGTCAATATTTCTTTTCTCGGGTCGATAAATCCAGGTATTGACCGAAGTTAAAGGCTATACAATTGTTTTATTATTTTACAAAATAGTAATGTAAGCAAACTGGAAATAAAACACAACAAAAAAAGCTTCAGAAGTGGGACGGTGCATTGTTTGGAGACACGTCATAATTCTAATTTTTAGAAACACCCAGTCCTTCAACAAAAATCACGAGCTCAAAGTCAATATCGGTTTTTATTGGTGGACACGTGATGCACTTCTGGCCAATCACTTGTCGGGAGTAATATGAAAAAATAATAATGGTTAATACATTTTTGGCAGAAGTTAAAACATGTTATTAATATTGAACTGTAAATTTATTTTATACCCTTTTTTCTCATTTTTATGCATTTGAAAGTAACTTTAACTTATATATAATTAACTTTAACTTTAGTTGACGTTAATCGTTATCAGTAAGTTTTTTAAAGGGTTAACTATTTGATGTGATTTTCCATGAGCCAATATAGTTCAATAAATTTTTATTAGGTCACCTGAGCTTTAGCTCAAGTGACCTATTGCTATCCGTTTTCGTCCGTCGTCGTCCGTCGTACGTCGTCCGTCGTACGTCGTCCGTCGTCCGTCGTCCGTCGTCCGTTATCCGTCGTCCGTTAACATTTTACATTTCAAACTTAAAGTCAAGTTCTGCTGGGCCGATTGAACTGAAAGTTGATAGGAATGATCGCCTCATGGTCCTGACAAAGTGTTGTTATTTTTCGGGTCGATCAGAAATCCAATATGGCCGCCACGGCCGCCATTTTGAAAACCTATTTCAAACTTAAAGTCAAGTTCTGCTGGACCGATTGAACTGAAAGTTGGTAGGAATGATCGCCTCATGGTCCTGACAAAGTGTTGTTATTTTTCGGGTCGATCAGAAATCCAATATGGCCGCCACGGCCGCCATTTTGAAAACCTATTTCAAACTTAAAGTCAAGTTCTGCTGGACCGATTGAACTGAAAGTTGGTAGGAATGATCGCCTCATGGTCCTGACAAAGTGTTGTTATTTTTCGGGTCAATCAGAAATACAATTTGGCTGCCATGGCCGCTATTTTGCTACTAAGTTCTAATAGGCCGATCTCACTTAAAATTGGTCTAGGAATGATCAGCTCATGGTCCTGACAAAGTTAAGTTAACATTATACTATTTTTTACTCAAATTGGTACATATTTCAACAACAAAAATAAATACTATAGACTCAGGTGACCGTTAAGGCCCATGGGCCTCTTGTTTTAGAAATGTTTTCTTTTTCCCTTTTTTTTTTGAATAGCAATGGTGTTATTGGCATCAAGCCTCTGTGAATAGGTGATAAATTCTATATTGACCTGAAAAAGTGATAATTACTGAGTATTTTTGTTCTTAAAATAACCATTTAATTAACACTGTTTGTTGACTCCAACGTATGATGCCAAAAAGATGTTAAAACGTACTGTAACAGGAAAAGTACACGAAAAGATAATATTGAAAACAAAGTCAGACTTACTTCCACTCTCTGCACTTTAAGGATCAGAAGATACCACACCAGGAATCACAATCTGGTGACTTTTAACATCAGTGTGACATCTTCAGAAATTTTTGGAATGGAAAACACAGGTGTATATAAATAACAGTATACTGGTATCATTTTTACAGATCACAAGAGTGATGATCCTGATGTCATGTCCGTAGATCTTATAACTTATAACTTAGAGCATCATAGTGCATTTTAAAAGCTGGTTTAATGTAGTTTGTAAAACAAAATATGGTCTTTCAAAGCAAGGTTTTAGCAATCAGAGGAAGGAAGTCGTAAGACATCCTCAGTCAGTTAATTATGAGTTCATACTCTTCTCAGGTTAATAAAACCAAACATTGACCTCAGTATAAGACTATGATTGTATAATGCGTTTTCGTCTCTGTATGTTGTAGGTCTGTTGCCGTTCTGCTCAGACAAGGATTTGTCTAGTGTGAGCTCTATCAGTGAGGACGAGTCTTCAGCGGACACTTCAGATTTCTCCTTTTCTGGCCGCACACTTCAGCGGACAGCTTCAGAAACTTTTAAAGACGCCCTAAAGGACACACTCAAAGAACTGGACAATGTTTTCTGGACAGATCATTCTGTTTCGAAGGTCAATGCAACCCGAAAGAGGTCAAATACTCTCCCTAACATCCTCAATGGTCAAGGACTTCTGCGCCTGCCAGAGGAGAAGAAGAGGGTATCGTCGGTCAGTAGAAGTGTCCTAGCGGAGGAATGTCGTAGAATCGAGGCAAGCATGAAGGCACTGTCAGCCAGTCACAACCATCGATGGTATGGCGGGGAGGATGGTGATGGTGAGGGAAGCGATATCACGGAGAAGGATGACAGACGTATTCCTGTCCTAAACGGAATTCACAATGCCTCAGACAAGTGTGGGACACACAACACCCTCATCGATGGTGAAGGGCATGCCAAACATAAACAGTATTATCAAAATGTACTGAGTCACAAATCGAAAAATGTTTCTACAAAAACCAAACTCGCTCCAACGAAAACATATCTCTCATCTGACTCAATTGTTGAGCCGATTTCTGCATATCAATCACATAGTCATATAGCCAAAAACGTGAAAGTAAAAACTGTTAGCAAGTTAGCGCTTCAAGATAGAGAGACACATTCTGTGGTAAATAAACAGGGTTTGATCTCAGAAAGCAGTCCTAACAAAGTCTCAGGAACCAGCTCAAAAAAGGACACCAAGAAAACAAACATACAGAACGAAGAAGTATCATTTTTTAACTTAATAAAAGACAAAATTAAAAAGGTATTTGATATAGAACCACCGCCGAAACCTTTACAATCTCCGGATGTGATCTCAAAATCTCTGGCTGTTGAAAACTGGCTTCTTCATTCCTTTGGGGGAGATGGGACCCTGGGAAATCTCTCAACTAGCACAAGTCTTGATGAATTTGATGGGTTTGCAGTTAGAGAATTTCCGCAAAGTAGTCGCCCTAGTAACAGAAATAGTGTGGACATCACAGATGACCTAGATAGATTACAAATCAGTGGTCAAGAGGAAGTGACCAATGGTGTCATTTCTGTTGCAGACGATGGACTTGAGAACTGTTTATCACAGAGTCAGGTTAATGGTCACTCAAAAAATTCTGAGTCAAACCTCGGCACTTTTCGTAATCATGTAAACGGATGCTTGTCTGAAGAAACAATTAACACACTAACTCAGAGTCAGACATCTGGAACGATGTTTGTTTGCTCGTCAAGGAGTGAAAATTCTGTCCAAAGCTGTGCAGACAATCAAATTAGATACTCTGGTCCCAGTTCTGACGCTGGTTCCACCAATCATAACAAGTCACATGATCAAAAGGGATGGTCACATGACTGTACTATAAACAATGGGTCATGTGACCAATACGGTGCCTTGGAATCGCTATGCAGGTTAACAGATTTAGACCCCGCAGGAAACAACAGCCAATTATTTGTGTCCAAAGAATTTTCCAATGGAGAAATGTCCACAGAAGTTCCTTCTCATTGGAGCAGTCAGAGGAGTGAAATAGAAAAAACAAACGTATCAAAATCGGGAGTAAGCAAATCTTTACAAAATTTAAACGGATACCATAATGGCAGTACGGAATCGTGCCAGCCAAACTGTGTATCGGACGTGCAAGAACTCCCTGGTCAGTGTGCAGCTAAGGAATTGTGTCGATACTACCACGTGTTCAGGGAGGGTGAACTGACCGAGCTTATAACTGACCATGTCCATAGCCTTCGGGTGGTCAGCGACATGTTTGACCACTCCAACTGGTGTGTAGTTGTAGAGAAAAGGTAGCAGAAATGTTTGACCACAAGAATGAGAAGATTAATATTATATCAATTAGGTTCCTTAATGTTTCTCTTCTTTCTGGATGTCAAATTTGTTTTAAATGCTGATTTCCTCAATATTTAGACTGTCAATCAAAGACATGTAAAAACAAAATGAGAAATTTAATATTAGCAACTTAACTTTTGGAGCGAAATGCATGTTGAAAAATCAAAAAGTTTTAATAAAACAAAAGGTTTTCATCAATAGGGATATGTTTGTAAGAGATATATTTACACATTTTTGTATGTTTATTATCTCGGACAAAACTAATATTTGATTTTTCAAAGGAAATATTCAGCAACATTCCTCTTAAATTTGTCATGAATCATAAAATTAATCTATCATTTGAAAATTAACCAGCCTCAAAAACTTACGGTAACACCCCTACATAAATGAAATATAATCTGTCATGTTACTGTCGTGATTGGAACGTACGTTTGGCAGAAATAGCATGTCTAACATGTACATCGATTGATTAACTCATTCACCCCCTGAAATTTCATAATGAACTATTCCAACCTTTGAATTGGAAGAGTTCAAATGTGTCTTTTGGGGTGAATGAGTTAAAAAGTTATTTTTAACTTTGATACCTTTATTAACAATTTACCGGGGATTTCTTCATTCAACACTTCTTTAATGATTTGTTTGTGGAAATGTCTATTTTATAACATACAATGTACCAACAGATTGAGGTATCTGTAACTGTGTATAAATCAATATTGACATCATATTCAGTAGTCACAAGTTCACTTTTATAAAATGTGAATGTGATTTTTTTTTATGTGTAAATGTGAATGCACAGTGATCTTCGTACCCGGTAGATGTTTTCTGTATTTCTGAAAAATTCCTTTTATAGAAAAACTTTTACAGAAATTGCCTTGAACTACAGAAATAAAATACAAATGTAAATATATTTGGAGGGTTCTCAGAAATCCTTGTGTTAATGTTCACCTTTGATTATTCTAAGCTCTACCTTAGAATTGACGAGACTGGCCTGAAATTTACATATCTGGACGCAGCAGTTTATACCGTCGCTAGTGTAGACATTTGCTATTTTGCAAATCTATATGTATATGTTTGTGTGTGTTTTTATTCAAATTTAATTTATTATTTAGAATGCCTCTAATCTATATCTGTTTGATGTAAATTGATGCATGTTTTCTGCTATGTGATTTTTCGGGCTAGAAGCAATCTTTTTATTTTGTTTATTTATTGAATTTCAGTTTTTCCACATTTCTACCATAGAACAGTGTTTCCCGCTGTTGAGTAATTTACACTTAGACACATTACCATGGACAACGCCTTTACATGTATTGATATTTTTTTAGCCCTTTCACCCCTAGGTTACTTTAGCAGACTCTACCATACATTGATCTGGATGAGACAATTATGGTCTACAGTGGTGAAAGGGAAAAGGATGAGGTTTATCACAGTTTTCTCCCTTCCAACACCAAAATATTGGTAATTAACATTTAGATTGAATTAGTGATTTTCATACTCCTTGCTCCTTAACAGAAAATGTTTTATTACAGTTATCTCCCTTCCAACACCAAAATATTGGTAATTAACATTTAGATCGAATTATAGTGATTTTCATACTCCTTGCTCCTTAACAGAGATCATTTTATTACAAATGATCCACCCGAAGCTTCATTGAAATAAGTTTATAAACTAATTGCATTTATTTTTACAAAACCTTGATTTTCATTTTCTGTTCAAGAAAAAATATTCATTAATAAATTTGTTTTATTAATAATGTAGATAATGTTGAATTTTTAAATAATAAGTATATCATTTTTCCAATCGGCAATTTAGAAGCATAATTTGTGTGGACAGAGTGTTGCAGTTTCTTTAATAAATGCTTTTTATTTTATTACACTGCTATCAAATGTTGGCAAAGTTTTGCTTTTTGAAAGTTGATATATCAGTAAAAACTCTCTACATTCCTATTATACATGTACAGGTCGTGAGATAGGTATAGTTTTTACATGTACTACACGTAAAATGTATTTATAAAAATTGTTGGTGCAGTATCATAAAGTTTCTATGGCGATAGGATGTAGGTATCTACCTATCATTTGTGTATTTTGTTTCTTAGCTAGAAAATTCCTGATTGAATGGAGCCGTGCATTAATGTGTTATTGGAGTAAGTGTTTTGAGGTGATTTTGTGCTGTTTGCCTTTGGACCAGAAGATCCGGAGCCAATATATGTTTATGTTTTTAGCTCACGAAAGAATGGAATGATCAAATGCTGTATGGCATTATGAGTTTTGATTTACTGTACCAAAGGCAAATATCTATCCATGTTGTACTTATCGTAATCATTTTTATCTGGTTTATACCTCTTCTCAAATATTGCTTGATGTAAATTGATATTTATTGAAACAGTAGGCTGAGTTTTAGCGTCTTGATGGGCAAAAATGAAATGTGAAATAGGATGATGACTGCAATAATCTCATAGTTTTCTAAACACATATACTAATGATTAAGTTCAAGTCAGGCAATAATATATAATTTGGACTTATAACCCCTTCTCTTTATCTTCTTTAATTGAATACCAAGTATTCGGGTTTTTTGTCAAATATTGTTACTATTGCCTCTGATATTTATTACCCCCCCTCCACCCTCTCCCATGCCACCTTGCCGATCGCCGGTGCCATAGCTACCATCAACATTTAATTGATGTTTTCTGGTTAGAAATTTTCTTGCATACTAGAGCGAGATATCCGCATTTCCGGTGATGCTGGAAAACAATATCCGACCCACGGATCTTTTACACGCGCAGACTGGCGGGCGAATTATAGTGACGTTTTGGGGTCATGCTATTATTCCTGACGTCATTTTATGATGTTTTGGGGTCAGTCGGAGTCATTGAGGTCATTAACAATGGTCATCCAGGCTTCATATGCAAATGAGAAATGTGCGAAAGTTTACAACTTTACTACAAAAGCGGCTGTTTTACATGTTTCAGTTAATGAGCAAGAAATAGAATGACTCCCTGATGTGAGGTATGGATAAGAAAATTCAAACCCAATTAGGGATAAAAGATTGAGCAGGAGACCCGATGTTTTCCACCTTAAACTTCAAAGACAGACTGTGCAGCATTTTGCATAGCCTCAGATGTAACATTTAAGAATCTTACCTCTTGAGTTGATTTTCATCTGTCGCACACTCAAGTGGGGAAACATTCTTATCAATGTTTTCCTCAGGAAACATCAAACAGTGTTAATATCCTATTAGGACAGTCTTTGTTTTAAATTATTTACAAATTGTTAATCCATCCTGTTTTTGATGACAATCTATAGCTACCAGCTATATAGGTCACCTCAGTTATTCAACAACCTGTTTGCCTTAAGGTTTCTAAGTATATATATCATTTAACTACGACTGTAGTTCAAAATTTTAAATATGATTAAATGCTTATTTGAAAATCGATTTTTTCTGGATCATTATCTCTTTGTTATGAAAAGCCATCAGTTTTTGTGTTTGACCTTCAAGTAAGGTTTGGAATTATTTGTGTCACCCTTAGATAATTTCAGTTTATATGAAGTGACCACCGGTGTATGGCCCCAAAGATATATACCTTGTCAGGGTAGGAGATTTAAAAGCAGCAGAGTTTATAAAATTATGAACATTTCACATTTTCTTTGAGTGGCTGTTCCAACTACATTATATCCGACCCGTAATGTATAGGGCTGTAGGGTGGAGCCCAAAGGAGTCAGTGTGCTAAACTTTCTTCATTTTTCTTGTTTAGAATCAGAGGTGCTAGTTTCAAATACTTTTTAGTCTTAAATCTGTATGCTAGATATTAAATAAGGTGGTTTTATTGTTTTTTGTCACTGAATAATATTTCTGTTCGTGTTAAAAACAAAATCAACTCTCTGTTTAAGGACTCACACAACTAAATCAGCCAATCAGCAAGTGTTTCATACGTTTGTAGTTCCTATTTGAAATAAGTTCCGGCTAATTACTGGGCCACTGAAGGAGTTTAATAAGGAACGGATGACAGATTTTTAGATAAATGAAATGTTCAGGTATTTAACTTTTGAAAAATATATACTTTCCATGTCTGTGTGCGGATTTGCACAGGGGCAAAATGTTTGGGGGCGTTTCTGTTTTGGGTCACCGGTTTTGCTTGTAAACTTCCGGTTGTCAACTTCTTGGCGCTGTGACACTCCAATATGCCACTAAACCTACCAAAAAAGTCATTTTGTAGCCTTTGCAAGGTATGTATTTATGAATCTAGACAGTTGTCACTAGTTTTGAACTTCAAATATTAAAGTTATTAGCTAAAATGTTTGGTAATAACATATAGTAAATGATTTAGTTGTGTGAGTCCTATAAATATATCAGGTGACCGTTAACGCCCATGGGCCTCTTGTTTTATATTCCTGCCTCCAATATTCATGCTTTAAGCTGGTCGCTCTACCAATAAAAAGGTTGTAAGTATTCAACGTCTTACCTTTAGATCGTTGTTTATGTTACAAATTACAAAGTACAAAAAAGATTATTCAAACAAACAACACAACGCAATAGATATTTTCTTTTCCCTGTCCTGTACTACAGACAAGCCAGTAGTTGTGTAACAATGATTGGTAGTGTTGGTTTCTCCGTTGTTCTCTTCCTAGATCAGGTTTTTCCAGCCGCCACAAAGAATGCCAGTTTCCTTTTATTCCAGTCCTCATATAAGTCGCATATCAGTCTTAATGGCAGTTTTAACTTTTAGCTGGTGTATCATTTCTCTGCAAGGTATAGCCCGAGTTTCTCCTGGCTCTGACACCAGACTTGGACATTTTGACAGATAGATGTCTTTCAAAATGTCTACGTCTGGTGTCAGGGCCAGATGCAGCTTGGGGTATGCAAGGTATTGCTCTGTTCGACAATTGTGTTCAGGGTGAAACCTACAAAAGGAGGAAGTGATGAGGCAATTAAATGCCAATGTTATGATCAATTTGAATTCGTTTGTGACATTATTTGTCGTATATTTTTATATGTCGTTTTCATTATATCAGACTGATCTCATTTTCGTTGCTTCTTTGTATAGAGACGTTGTGAATATTATATTTGAGCACGAAATTAGATATAAGTCTGTGATTTGAGCTTCGTGTTGTTTTGCGAGAATTGATGAAAATTGTGTTAATTTATATAGTCCCGTAGTTTTACGCAAATATTTACTAAATCAGTTTTTGAGAAAGCTTACAAAGTTAGACTATAGAATAAATTAATCAGAATATGGCGCCAAAGATTACGCTTCTAAAACCCACACTTTGCTGACGCAGTTATATCAGAGACGTGTATGGATTGATATGTCCCTGGTTATATATATTGCCGTAATATTTTCGTCGATGCACTTCAAAATATTCAAAATAAATTTTACTAACAATTTCCTGTAGAAAATTATCGATAGCATGCCGTAGCCGTGAAATATAATAAATGGTATAAAATGGGAAACCATTAAATATCCATTATTTCTATTTTACTTCCCTACTCTTTAAGTAATTAATGGAAGTAATGAACCAACAAAAACAATATTGACGTAACTCTTCCAGCTACGGTTATCATGAAATTAACTTATAAAACACAGACATGATTGATGCAGAGGTGGGAACGAAACATTTCGGAACAAATATCTTGAATTTTCTTTCACTTATTAAAGCATTAAGAAATCCTTTCCTGGTACATGCTATCTTGCTTGCTTTTTTTTTTTTTACATATCCCTACGCAAATGATTTTTTTTCGCGAATAATCACGATTCTGTATTAACCGATTTTATTTTTAGAATTGAAATTTGGAAAACAAACGAACACAAGTTTATACATTGTATATTCATTTAATCAAAAGGAGATTTAATTAACTCCTATGAAT